GTTTCAAGTTAATTGCGACGAAAATTATGTACATTGGAATTAGGCCCTTTATTTAGGGATTCTCTTTTTAATATTAAAAATTGGTTCTTGAAACACTTGATTTTCAAGTTTTTCAAATCTTGATAAAAAGTTTCAATTTGAATGTATGGATTTTCTATCCTTTCTGCAAATGTCCAACAGGAAACATTTTGCTACATTATGGATGTGTTGGACCTTGAGGAAAACGTTTTCTAAATTTTCTCATGTTTGGTTTGTGAATATATATTGGAAGACATTATTTTATAGTAAGATATAATATTTACGATTCACGAATGAGAAAAATGACTTTTTTAGTAGGAGGAAAAATTAGATCAATAATTGGTTTTTCAAGTTCGTCTCCTCTTCACTCTCAATGACCCCCAACCCCACCTCTAGACCATTCCATCCCTTGTTACTAGAGGCGGACCCCTCTGTACACGTGTATCTGTTAACTTTGAAAAAAATCATGTGTATAAGTATATCTATCTTGAGAAACTTACATAAATTAGAATATATTTAACAATGCACTCATGAGGAGCAATGGGTGCCTTTGTGTTGCTGGTACAAGCCAAGAGAACCAACCATGAGACTATGATTTGAATCTAGATGGTACAAGCCAAGAGAACCAACCATGAGACTATGGTTTGAATCCAGAGCCCTATTTTACTATTTTTATTTTAAGTTTATCTTAGAGCTCATATTTGGGCTAAGATAATATTGATGCACCAGAAGACTTCAAATTCTGAATTCGCCTCTGCTTGTTACCCCAAACTCCCATTTCTCATCTCATCGCACAAATACTAAAAATACAAGTACGAAACTCACGTATTTTCTAAACGTTTTCCTTCATTTCAAACACACTCTATACTATAGCAAAGTACATTGATTTGTTTAGATATTATTTGGAAATTTATGTACAATAATAATCACGTTTAGGGAACTTGATAAAGAAAAATAAAAACTTTGAAGAAAAATAGAAAGAATGAAAATAACGTTGGAACGAACTCAAAGATGGATCAATAATTGTCATACACAAAGATGTAAAAAGAGAAAACCTCTCAAGTTTATTAATAATCTGAATAATTTCTAAATAAAAAAGATAAACACACCTATATATAATGCCAAAAGGGTCACAAAATTTAGCCTAAAAATCTCCACAAATAAGGTTTCAATAGGAAAAAAATAATTAAGAAGTCAATCCAAGACAATCTTGGAAAACAATACCAACTACCTTATGAATAATGAAAAAAGAAATAAATCCAAACTACCTACAAAAGCAATAAGCATAGTCTTAACAAATTAGGATTATAAGCCAAAACCAAATTTAGGCAAATATCTTGAAACTCTTGAATTGACTTTGACATGAAAAAGCTTCAAATTTGGGCAGCATAAAAGGCTTGACTTTGTGTTTCACTTGTGCAATTGGACTGACTAGTAATTTTAGATTAAACCTTGAGACTGAACCTGATAGCATCCTTGGAACCTGCCTCTCACCTTATGATTTTGGGCACAAAATTTCGAAGTGTTGAGTTTTTGGCCTCTAATATTTATCATTTGGACTTCAATTTGGGCCACATATTAGATCTTCCATGACTTGGGCTCTTTGTTCCAACACAAGAAAAGTTTAATCTCAAATTGAAACTTAATTTGGTTGTCTTGAAGTTCATTAATTTTGGATCTTGTCATAGCCTCATAGGCCTTTTAGAAGATTTCAAAGCTTGATCATTGGTTTTCAATACACTACCATGGATGCCATAATTGAATTTGGTTGTGTGTAATTACATAATTTAGATTATTTAAGTTGTAAGTAATTAACTCGGATTACACATACCACATGTTAAAGCCATAACTATAGTGCGTAAACAATTACAAGTCTATCCTTTTTAGAACAACGATATACAATATTTGAAGTTTCATAAAGATGAAGTGTAGACAAATATGATTGAAGTTAAGTTATTTTTGCGTGAACTTCTCTGGAAATATATGCTTTTTTTATATTATTGGTGGGTTGATTTAAGGGAAAAAGGACAAATATACATCCGAACTATCGTAAATGGTATGCAGATACCCTTCGTCATACTTTTGGGATATTGGTGCCCCTACTGTAAAAAAACTAGAGCATATATACCCTTTATACTAACGGACAAACGTGTGTCATAATCTTATCCACCGATCCGACAATTATTAAATATTGGATCGACGGATAAGATTGCACCACGTGTCCCTATTTAGTCTTTCGTTAGAGTGAAGGACATATATGCTCTAGTTTTTGGACGGCAGGGAACCAATGTCCCAAAAGTATGACTGAGGGTATCTGCATGCTATTTACGATAGTTCAGAGAAATATTTGTCATTTTTCCCTTGACTTATTTTTGATAGTATAGAAAATATATACTCTGTCAGTGTCAGTATACACAAGGTAAATTCGTTTATTTTTTTTATAAATTCTAATTAATATAAAAAAGAAGATGATTATCAAAAGTAAATTTATTTAAAAAATGTAAAATACTATAGATGCTCGATGATTACTCCATAATAGACCAATCATATTTTTTAACACCATGAAAATTCATAACCTTAAATCACCTATCCTAGTGAGACTTGTGAGTTGTGGCCCATTTTTATTGACCTTCATGATTTATGTCCAAATATATATGGACAACAAAAAGTCTAAAAAGCTTCTAGAAGAAAATTGCACCAAAAAATGTGAAGAAAAAATCACTTTTGGAGTCAAAGCTTCTAGAGGGAATAGAATAAAGTCTAAAATTTGCACTGCAAGATAATTTCACTCTTTTCTATTTTTATTTAATTTATCGATTTTATTTTTAAATTGAAAATCTATTGAAAGTTGTCCTTTTATTTTCATAAAGATAATGATAAGATTTATGTGCACTTCATTCTTCTCACAATCCAATTATGAGACTATACTGAATATATTGTTATTATTGTTGATCTTATGATAGCAATTTCTTTTATATTAATTGATTAATCTCCTACTCAATAAATGTAAGTTTCATAGAATACTATTTCTTGTTTTTTTTTTTTTTTTAAAAAAAGTTGTATATGGTAGCTCAACAGGTTAAAAACGACTTTTTCTTTCACTTTATAATTTTTTATTTTTTATTGAGCTCATAAAAAGCTTAAAGGAATCAATCTTGTGTTTTATGAGAAATGAATTGAAAGACAAATTTAATGAATTATGAATTTCTCGAGGCCTTCTAGATATATTATTGTGGCCAAATTTTCTGGCCAAAAGGATATTTCCTTTTAAATTACTTATCGAAATTTCATTATCTTTTTCTCCTTATTTATACTAAAAGGCTAATAGAATCTCAATAAATCACTTGTCAAAGTTTCGTCATTTTTGCTCCTGATTATACAAGCTTTAAAATTTTCACTTGGCCCCTACCCTAAAAGGATTTTTCTTTTATTTTCTTTTTCATTTTTTTTAATTATGAAAGTAGAAATTCTTTATGCTAACAATCACTTATCATGTGGCCCTCACTTTAGACAAATGACACAAAAGGTCCCCTCATAACATGAGAGGTGTAGATCACAATCTTGAAGTTTCTTATTCTTTCAATGAAATTTAAGAATAAAAAAGGTCCAAAAAGATTGGTTGATAATATTTTAGAAAAAATAAGACCAAGATTTTAACAAGTGTATAGTACTCAATTGATCCAATAGAAAAAAATATCATAGGACAAATTGTAGAAAGCAACATATATTTTGGTTCTCTTTAGGGAACAAATCAATAATTCAAAAGCAAATTGTGGGGTGTCTCTTTCTTGGAAAATTAAAAATAGGAAGATATTATAAACCAAATAGCCCAAGCACCACATTTTGTAATTGTGGTCTTTATTTAAGGATAAAAATGCTATGTCTATCAGCTAAACACTAGACTGAGTCATACAAGATGATAATGAAAATGACCAAGAATGGACTTCAAGAATTGACATCTTTTTTATTTTATTTTTAATGCGAGATATCTGTTATCTTTCACCAATATAGACATTTAAAAATGATCAAGAATTGACATATTCTATTGGTACCTTTTTTTCTATGTGGGCACGTGCTATCTTTCATCAGTATAGATATCAGATAATTTTATACATCAAGATTTGGACAAACAAGAAGAAGTCACTTGAAATTTTTGCCAACGTTGAGTGAAAAGTCTCGTGATTCTAGATTATTTCATTGACCATTATGCCGCATCCTTAAATGGGGAAATGATATTATTACCTTTTGCTCAAGCAATGTTCTAAATTATTATGGCTCAAATTTTTTTGGCAAAGCAGTGGCTCCTTTATTTAAAGGCCTTCCTTTTTTGCATTTTTGGTGTTACAAATTGGTGAAAATAGAAATTATAAGATAAGTTGAATTTTTTCTCTTTGATATGTTTTGTCCATATCAACACTACTGAAGAAAAAATCAAATAATAATTTTGGAATAAAATTTAGCTTAACTTTATTTCATGTTTGATTTGAGATACTAGCTAGTTTCGAGATTATTTTATTATAGCAATTTGTACAATGTATGCATATATTGTATGTAATTATATATAAGGTGTATAACAATGTAAAAGTGTGCATAAAGACCTCATATTCACTATTCATACATTGTGTACAGACAGCAGCATGGTGGAGGCAAAAACAAAAAAAGGCATCAGACCATTCACAACATCATGTGATTTCACCCAATTTTGACCATAATCAGAAGAAAAAATCATTTTCTCTTCTGGCAAATGATATAGACATATATACTATGTTGCTCGGACTCTTCAACAATGACAACATGCGTTGAATTCTCCAAAAGTAGTGTATTTTTGGAAAATTCAATACGGGCATGGCAATGAAAGTGAAGAGTCCGCACAACTTAGGATATATAGCCAACATCAATGAAAGCCACCAACTTGCTTAAATATACGATAAAACAGCAGTCTTTTCTGAAAGTAACAAGGTACCAGAAACAAGAGTGTACTGCTGGAAATGATATTCTTGATTCATATACTTTATGTACAATATGCACTGCCTATAAGGTGATTCATATATGGTTAGTACTAGCAGAAAACTAAAAACATTCCCGTATATCCAAAATAAAATAAGATGTATTAGTTATTATTGATTCAGATTATGCATCGTCCCTTTGCTTGCGCATCCGTGCTCCCCAAGACATACTGTTACTGGATTCCTTGTACGTTCTTCGTCTCTTGAGCTCTGATAGCTGAGACTGCCAACGATTTTTCCACTCACCTTTCTCCTCCATCGCCTAAAGCATAGCAAAAACTCGAATTAGCAAGAGGATACCAAGAATTCGAGAACATAAAACATGTCATAGAGCATACAAGCAGATAAAAATCAAGTACATAAATGCCAAAAGAACAGAGTGCCTGTCTAAGGAAAATCTTATGTTCAAGTGATCACATAAGAATGACAAGTTTTGATGAGATAAATGAGAATCAAAAGCGGGATACAGTGGCAGAAGCAGTATGCTAAGGTCAAACAACTTGTTATCATTTAAACATTGGATCCGAAGCAAAAGAACATCGCATATTAAGGTCTCTTGAAACCAACCAAGATTACACGCGAAGTAGCTTTGTATTTCAGGAAAGGAGTAAAAAAAAAGGGCAAAGACTGGAAAGCCACGTTCCATACTTCAAGTGACTCTAGTTATTATTGAAGTAATTATCAAACAGTTACCATCATTTACATGAAAAAAGTTGGTTCTAATATTTGATAGATTAACAGAAAACAGAAGTTTCATTCACTCCTCTTGTCCCAAGAATTGGAAAAATGAAGTATTTCATACTTCCCTTTAAGATTCCACTAATTGAATTATTCCAAGAAACAGTGGACTATCTCATACTCGATCAATGAGATCTATCATGATAACATTCATTTAGTCCATCAAATAGAGAAAACAGTGGAAACGCCAAAGATTACAAGTATCAACAGTGCAAGGGAACACCACCATCGAACACCAAAGTATATATGAGAAAGACCAAATGACTAAACCATATATTCCTAATTGCCAGTAGTTCTGTCATACCCTAGTAAATACATCAGTAGATGCCTCAATAAAGTGTCTTTTTTTGTTGGTTATATTATGCAGTCATCCGACCAAAAGGGGAACCCACCTAAGTTGACTCCGAGCACGATCATTTTAAGACTTGTCATGCCTCAGGCATCTAGATACCGACAATTTAAAGATAAGTGACTACTTTTCCAGAAAATATTCCGCAAATCTTTACATAATATCTCTTTTGAACTCAACAGTTAGCCAAAATATACTAAGATTCTACTTTCTTTGGAACATGCAGGCAAATTCTTATCTTCAGCATATAATCCTTTATGATGTGGATAAGTGTCATAACCTTGGGTATGAATTCCAGTAGAGGTCACACCAGTAGTCCCATCTGCCTAAACCTCGGTGAAAAGAGAGAGTAGCACATACTCGGTTGATTAGTCAAGGTGCATGCAAACTGCTCGGACACTACCGGTATAAAGGGAAACTAAACTAGAACAAATAAAATAAAACCAATATGCAAGTCCTCACTGGATGGATCTTCAAAATTACATACTCTACTATGCCTATTTCAATTAGAAGGCTTTTTTCATTGACCTTTATGTGCAAATACCCTTAATCCTTTTCACCCATCAGCATACAATAGGTGAATCATGACTAACCCGACCAAAATATAAATGAAACCCCGGAACTGGATTTCTCAGATGATCACTCAACTAGTAATAATTATTATTTCAGAAAGTCACTTTCTTCTTCTTCATTTCAAATGTTTTTCAACAAAGAACCTGACTTTTTAAGATAATAACTAATAATTGAGATCAAACTCTCTACAATTGCACACAGTAGAGTGCGTTTTATACGAATTTGTGCTTTAGCCTAAAGATAGCTACTCTAGAATATATCAAAATATCCTTTAATCTTATGGTTGTAAACATGCAACATAGAAAGTTAGAATTGAAGAGTATAACAGAGGCGCAGAAAGGCAAAACTGCAGTCAAATTGGGGGTATTTTTCATGCATTCAATAATTAACGAAAGACACAAATTGAAAAAGAAAAGCAAACACACCTCATGTGAACGAGCAGAGAAACCAAAGTGAAGTCCTTTAGCCATATCTATATCATACAAAGCTCTCATTCCAGGATCCGATAACGTTTCATAAGCTTCCTGCACCCTAATAAATCTCTGTGTATACTCTTCAACCCGATCCGGAGGTGAAACATCCGGGTGATACTTCCTTGCTAATTGCTTGTACGCTTGTTTGATTTCCAACAACGATCCAGTTTCCGGTATACCCAGAAGATCGTAAAAGCTCTTATCCGTGTCGGTATATGAAACGACATCGTTTAGGTTCGATTTAGGTTTGAATGACACGAATTTTGTCCTCAAAACTCCATAATTCGAAGGATAGTTAAGAAAAAATAGACGACGATTTGGAGAAATTGTTGGTGGGTGGGTGGAGAATAGGGGAAAACGAGGTTCGCTTGTACGGATAATGCCATGGGAGTTGCAACACATCTTCCTCTCTTTTGATTGCAGATTTTGGCTTAAACTTTTTTTTTTAGTGTGTTTTCTTTGGGTTTGATCACATAAGTATATATATAATGATCTGGATACAGAATGCAGAAACAAAAGGACATTATTGTCATTTTGGAGTAGGAAAAGGATGTTTAATTATATGTGGCAACTAAGAGAGTCGGATTGGACGGTTCAAAATTAATTGAGTTAATAAATGAGATCATAACTAATAATTAGGAATGTCAAATGGAAGATTAAAATTTGAAATGTTAAAATGGGTTGAAATAAAATTGAATTGGGTTGGGTCCTAATCCACTCAAGTTATTTTGGGCTCAAATGGATTGGGTCTTGGCCCACCCAATTTAACCCGCTTCATCTCAATAATAAATAGAAAAAAATGTAAGAATATAATATTTAAGAACTTAATTAACAATATATGTATATACTCCTTTTTATTTATAAAATTAAGTTTTTAATTACATATATGACAAAATATTTATTTTTATTTTTTATTTATATATATTATTTTCTGATTTGTTTCCATCTTTGGTGGGTTATGTGCTAAATTTATGAAATTGATAATTATTGTTTACTTTTTGGCTTTCCAACCATAATTAAACAAATATATTTTAGTATCCGATTTTTTTTTGCCTATATATTAAATTTCTGATTTTAAAACAAATATATTTTAGTATCCGATTTTTTTTTTTGGGGGGTTATGTGCGAAATTTATGGGATTGATAACTATTGTTTATTTTTTGGCTTTCCAACGATAATTATACTCTTTTATATTATTTTTTTGTCCATATATTGAATTTTCAATATTTTTATATATATTTCAATTTATTTCTTTTTTTGGAGGGTTATGTGCTAAATTATTGAATTGATAATTATTGTTTACTTTTTGACTTTTCGATCATAATTGTACTTTTTTATATTATTTATTGATTTTTCTCTCGCTTAATTTTTTATTCAATCAAATCAAATTATTGATTGTAGCCTTATCCCACATCTTTAATATTGTTTCATACAAATATAATTTTCCTTTATTGTAACCAAATTTTAATTATTTTTTTTCTGAAATTTGAAAGTTATCAACATTATTTTTTTGACAAAATATTTTAATTGTTATGGTATGACTTAACATCAAAGTTGTATAAAATCTATAACATCAAAGTTATATAAAATCTATATAATATTCAAGTTTTTAATTACTATATTAAACTTTCTAGAATCACATGGTTATTTAAGTCTTACCTAATATGTTAATATTATATTACATCTCAATATATACCATATAATATATCAAATTTGTGTAAAAGAAATATATGTACCGTATAATATATATATCAATATTGTATCATCTAAAATATCAATATTATATCAACATTGTATCATCTAAAATATCAAAATTATACCAACATTGTATCATCTAAAATATCAAAATTATATCAATATTATATCATGTGAAATACAAATATTATAGCAACATATGCACCATCTAATAAACTGAACTTGTGATTTTGTCATATATTTTTTCTCAAATTGTCAGTTTATAACATAACGAAAATTATTATTTTGATAATATTATCTTTTAAAATCAACACTAGTACAAACTTGAAAATTTAAAATTACACTAGAACAATGTGACACCATTCATGAATAACATTGAAAATTGCTAATATCAAAATTGTACCATATAATATACCTATAATTATTTAATTCTATCCCATATAATAACCAATCTAGTTGATATTTAGTGTCATTCTATTTTTTTTAAAATGACATTTATACCACAAGGAAAACCAACATAAATAATTGGACTAACTATATCATATGATTAAATATGATTTTAATTTTTTTTAATAAACAACGAATGAAATTCAAAATCGCTAATATCATTCAATTAGATTCTGAAGAAGAAAAAACTGTGTAATAAATAAAAATTAACTCAACAATATTAATCCTCATATGGTTATTTGGTACAAGTTTTCTTGTTATGGTCATCTATAGGCTATAACACATTTTCTAAAATTTACTTTAAACCTTTTGAACTTTTTTGCTTTTCATTGATATTTGTGTCATATATTTGTCCTTCAATCTTGAAATTTATATACTTTCCCACCAATACATTGCAACAAAAAAAGTTAAAGAACTTACTAAACACCAGTTATAACAATTAAATTTAAAATATACAATCATATTTTTTTATATCACCAAAAGAAAAGTTATATACAAAATGGTGTATAATATAGTTAAAAATTGATGTCCACTTCATTGTTCTTATAATGAAATTCGAACACCAATTTATAACCAACTATATGTATAACGTTAATTTATGAAGATTGATAAAGTTGAACTTGATTATATGTAACAACATAATTTAATAAAAAAATACATCAACTATGACATAAAAGTATATGAAATAAATATAGATGATTTGAAACCTAATATACAATATTGATTACACTGTATCATTTACAACAAATAAACTATCAATTGACCAAATAATCTACCAAAACTCTACTCATAGCAGATCGTCAAACTCAACTTTATAGTGTTTAAAAATCAAAATTTATCAAATAAATAAAGAATGTTGGTATTCATTAAAAACTTACTACGAAAATATAGTTACACCTAATCACTTATCAAAAAATATTCACGAAATATGCAGTTAATACATGACCTAAAATATACCTTCAATTTCACCAAATAATCTACCCATATACAATCACGAATACACATAACAAAACACGTAGATTACATCAAAACAGAAGCGAATAACCAATCACGAATTGACATCCTAATAACAAGTTAATATATACTATCAATTACTTCAATACATGGACCACAAAATATATCAATTACATCAGCAAATTATATCAAAAAATTTAAAGTTTGTTGGTGTTGATTTAAAACCTAATATACAATATTGATTACACTATATAATTCACAACAACTACACTATCAATTTCACTAAATTATCTCACCTGTTACTATTATTAATAATAGATCGTCATAATCAACTTTAACAACCCTCACAATTACGCCATAACAAATGCCACAAACAATCTACCCAATTTTAATTCAGATCTGAATGTTATTAAATGATTTAAAATACATCATAATATACAATCATATTATCCTAAGATCATCGGATTTCGAATTAAATTTCAAAAAATAAACACCAATTTCCAGAAACAAAAAACATATACGTACCAATCAAATAGTTTATAAGATAACGATCACAGAAATTAAAAACACCAAATATAGTTATCAAACTTACCTGATGCGTCCCATCGTCCGTTGTGTTGAAGTAGAATTGAAACATTGTTGGTATCCATTATTGATTAAACTTACAAAATATGGAGGTATATAGGTTTATTTTGGTTAAAACTTTTTTTTTATAGGAGAGAACATATAATTAAATTTGAGTAAATCATGGGAGAAAATCGTGGATCCTTATTATTACGTTTTCTTTTACGTTTTTTTAAATAATTCATTTGCTATATTTGAAAAAAAAACTATTGTTATGTAGATGAAAAATAAAACTATTGTTATACAGTGGTTATTAAGGCTATATAGTTGTATACTTTAGTTTTTTGCCCATAATTTTAATATATTGTTATTTAAGTTTTATAACCATAATTTGAGTTCAACTTAAGAAAAATGTAAAAAGAAGTTATAAATGAATAGATATATTTTAAAAGATATAAATAGATAGTAATTCATACATTCAATATAGGAACATGCATTACATCAATGCAAACAAAGAATCTTAAAATGAGTTGAAATTGGAGATTAAATTGAGTTCAATTGATGATTCTCTAAAATTGGTTAAGGCTTGAATGAGTTAAGACTGAACTCAATTCAAATTATCTTGAGCCCAACCTTAAAATTCTGAGCGGATTACTTATAGTAAAGCTCATTTTTGACATCCTAGTCATAACTCATAACCCAATCGTTGAAACTCTTATCAAGTTTTAATTGTTTTAATAATTTATTCTTTTATATTTTTTTTAGTACCTTATAAAATTATTATTTAATGTCATTACAACTATTAATATAGCATATCAAATAAAAAAATATTTTTTTAAAAAATATTTAAATAAATATTTTTCATAAATCAAATTGGGCTAAATATCAGCCTAAATTTTAAAGGCTTCTTACATAACTATACATGTGACAAGTGTTTTTTTTTAACAAAATGATTACATGTATATGTAATGTATTGATAGTATATAAACAATATATAATTGTGTATATATGACGTATAACTATGTATCAGAAATGTATATACATTTTATAAATATTGTTTATATAATATTTATACATTATAACAAGAAAAAATGATATAATGTCACGATCCAACCCACCGGGCCTTGCGGGCACCCACTCTAACACCTAAGTAGGAGAACCCTCATGCCCAAAAGTTTAAACATGCGGAAAATTAACGAAAGATGGATATAAATGGAAGACATAAATCTTTATAAATGAAAATCTCTTTAAATAAATACTAGTTAAGACTTGTAAAGTAATTAACACCCCCAAAAATCTAGTCTAAATAGGTACAAGAGCTACTAAGAGTACAACTGGACAAGATAAATAAAAGACACAGCTCCCATCACGCGGAAGGAAGAATAGAAGCTGCTAGAGAATTTCTTCGTCTTCACCTAATGAAACATCACCGACCTACATCCAGACTATGTCAAAAGACATAACAAGAGCAGTATCAGTACAAACACATGTACTGGTAGGCATCATCAGTCAACCCGACGCCCACCGCATAATATAAGGAAACAACTAGTATAATTATGCAATAAACTTCTCGTTTCTCCACCTTTTCCCTCTTTTAAAATACCTCCAAGTTACACCAGTACTTTGATTACTAACCACCTTCTCGATCCACCTACTTACCAGGTTCTTGATCATAGCCTAAACGTTCTAACACATTAACGAATCCCCAATTACACCTACCAGCATTCCAACTAACCACTCACTTCGTACCCTTACTTCCTCGTCACATTACTCAACCATGGTCACATAGTACACT